CTCTCAAGCTAATATTCAATCAACGCTAACTGCAAATGGGAAATTTAAACAGATGGAAACACTGGTTACAAGTGTTGCATTCATAGAGAGATAGCATTTCCATCACCATGATGATGCCATTTGTTTTAGCTGCACAAATTGAGTTTAACAATTTTGATATCTGATTATTAGAAAAGCTAATTGCTTTTAAAATTAATTATTTTCATAATGTTTGAAATATCATATAGAAATTTAAGTCACTTGTAATTGAATATATCAAAATTAGTACCACATGATTAATTTTCAAGTAAAATACTAGCCTGTCTTGGGTTGTGTTGTGCAATTTTTTTTAGTTAGCTTAAGGCCATATGTTACCTTTTAGTAATAATGTATTTCAATTTCTAAAGAGTTCCACATTAAAAAACCTGTATTCTTCTATGAATGTATTGTACACTGTTAATTGACTCTTGAAATTTTTTAACGGTACACAAGAAGCCAGGAATTACTAACAATTCTGAATAAAAAGTCAAGGTCAATCGAACGTTTAAAAGGGGGAATAACTCTAACATTAATTGTATGCATAATGTGTAAGGAAGCATACGTCCCCAATATCATCACGGTGCAACACTATTTTTCTGCTGTATTTTTCCTGCTGTATTCATTTTCATATTTCAACAATGTCCTGTGAAAATCAACGTTTTGGCTGGACCTATAATTTACACCCGAGACTTTGGGTTTAGTCAAATACATAACATAGTATAAAGATTAAGAACAGGTAAAGTTAGGAAAATGTCATCCAAAGAAGATGTATGTATAAACTTATGACACATACATGTATTCCATTAATCTTGGCACAGTATATGCCAACTTTGGTGGAAATCCAACTAGTATTTGAGAAAGATGTCTTCTAGAAAGTGACATCCAATTATAATTTAAGAAGTTCACTCATAGATAAATAATGTTATTGCCTAAAAGATTTATCCTAGGAACTACAAAAAGTGCATCATATTATAACGATATGACAGGAAGATATATATGTCTGGAAAAGGCTTACAGATCCGGGAGAAGGTAATCAGAACGAAAAAGCATCTATAGCCTAATTTACTACACATAATCCTGTTACCATTTATAATAAACATTGTTACTACATTACCACATATCAACTTTGCTGATCGAAAATCTAAAAAAAATTGAAGACAGATGTATGGGCCTGGAAAGCTTCAACCAATCAGAATTTTGAGCAAAGCGTGGTTCCCAATGCTTCCACCAATCAGATTAAAGAGTGACTTGTAGTTCCTTATTGCTTCAGCCAATCAGAATGTGGAGGAGTGTTATCTTTGAGAAAATGAGGGGAGCGAAATAATTAGATAGGGAACAGAGAGTCAGTGATTGTATCTAATTGGATGATAAGATAATGAGTGTCAGATCTGGCCAGCTGTATTGATGGGGGGAGGGTAGCTGGAGAGGGTCTGACATTGTTTAGCTGTATTGATGGGAGGGTAGCTGGAGAGGGTCTGACATTGTTTAGCTGGAGTTGGAGGGTAGCTGGAGAGGGACTGACATTGTTTAGCTGGAGTGGGAGGGCAGTTGGAGAGGGTCAGTCATTGTTTAGCTGGAGTGGGAGGGTAGCTAAAGAGGGGCTGACATTGTTTAGCTGGAGTGGGAGGATAGCTGGAGAGGGTCTGACATTGTTTAGCTAGAGTGGGAGGGTAGCTGGAGAGGGGCTGACATTGTTTAACTGGAGTGGGAGGGTAGATAAAGAGGGTCTGACATTGTTTAGCTGGGGTGGGAGGGGAGCTGGAGCGGGTCTGACATTGTTTAGCTGGAGGGGGAGGGTAGCTGGAGAGGGTCTGAAATTGTTTAGCTGTATTGATGGGAGGGTAGCTGGAGAGGGACTGACATTGTTTAGCTGGAGTGGGAGGATAGCTGGAGAGGGTCTGACATTGTTTAGCTAGAGTGGGAGGGTAGCTGGAGAGGGTCTGACAGTGTTTAGCTGGAGTGGGAGGATAGCTGTAGAGGGTCTGACATTGTTTAGCTGGAGTTGGAGGGTAGCGGGAGAGGGTCTGACATTGTTTAGCTGGGGTGGGAGGGGAGCTGGAGAGGGGCTGACATTGTTTAACTGGAGTGGGAGGGGAGCTGAAGAGGGTCTGACATTGTTTAGCTGGAGCGGGAGGGTAGCTGGAGCGGGTCTGACATTGCTTAGCTGGAGTGGGAGGGTAGCTGGAGACGGTCTGACATTGTTTAGCTGGAGTGGGAGGATGGCTGTAGAGGGTCTGACATTGTTTAGCTGCAGTGGGGGGGTAGCTGGAGAGGGTCTGACATTGTTTAACTGGAGTGGGAGGGTAGCTGGAGAGGGTCTGACATTGTTTAACTGGAGTGGGAGGGTAGCTAAAGAGGGTCTGACATTGTTTAGCTGGAGTGGGAGGATAGCTGTAGAGGGTCTGACATTGTTTAGCTGCAGTGGGAGGGTAGCTGGAGAGGGTCTGACATTGTTTAGCTGGAGTTGGAGGGTAGCGGGAGAGGGTCTGACATTGTTTAGCTGGAGCGGGAGGATAGCTGTAGAGGGTCTGACATGGTTTAGCTGCAGTGGGAGGGTAGCTGGAGAGGGTCTGACATTGTTTAGCTGGAGTGGGAGGGTAGCTGGAGAGGGTTTGACATTGTTTATTTGTTTTAAGATTAGAAGTGTGATTTGATTGAAGGGACATAATTGGATTCTTTGGCAGCCATCATTGTTGACCAGTCAGAGATTTAGAGAGGTTTAACCATTGAAAAGTACTAGTGTTATTGGAACAGAATCTTGTGTGTGGTCTGAGTGTGCCGTATGATAAAATTTGGAGGGTTCTAGGATGTACCACAGAGAGAATACACGTGAATTGTGATAGAGGAGTGAAAGTATTGTGATTATAAATATGTAAATAGATGTAAATAAACTGTAAATAGAATTAAGTGCATTATGCCATGTTAACATTGGCACAAGACAGTAGATCCGTCACAAGATTAAAGATTGAAGTGTGGGTCCCAAATACTTCAACCAATAAGAATTAAGAGGAAAGTATGGGTATGAATATTTCAACCAATCAGAATTGAGAGGTTAACATGGGGCCCAAATGCTTCAACCAATCGGAATCAATAAGAATTATGAAATGTATGGGTCCAAAATGCTTCAACCAATCAGATTTAAGATAGATGCATGGATGGGTTCTACCAGTAAGAATAATGTCCATGGAGTCTTCACCACCTCTATTAGTGTAGGGAGATTTCATTATTAACAGTATACCTGTATTGACATCCCGGAAGATGACAATACTATTCAGATACTCTGTTGAGAGAGACATCATGTTTCTACGAATTACTGACACAGCAATTGTACCCAGAGAAGTGACACGGTATCTCACTCAGTCGTTTATTCATCCCCCAAACTCTACATCATGTAATAAAGCCAGGAGAAACCAACAACTATCCGCGTACAAGCACACAACGATCACCTTCCCTTACAGTCTCAGTCTAACATCTCTGCCAAATGCAGCATTCCAAATTCATTCTGTGATAACTGAGATACAGACCGAACGTCTGGAGAGATCGGTGCAATACTTGGACCGAGATAGGTACTACCTGAGAATTTACCTGCCCTTCATTGCTAAGTGAAGCTGACAAGGTGACAGACAAAAACAGACATATCTGTCACCCCAACAACACAATCGTCATGTGATCAGTATGTGTAGCTGTCCAATCACTAACTTTTGCTACAGTAGGGATGACAGTTATGGTTGAGCGCCGCCCCCCCTCCCCGAGACTCCCCTCGCAGGCTCCAGTTTTTACACAATTAGACATGGTTTATGTGTTGTATCGGCTTGCTGTACTTGTTATGTGGGACACTTTGGCTGTCAGGGACGTGGTAGTTGGTGGGACAATTTACACCCGCCTGGCCCAGAGTTTATGTACTTTACCACCTTGTTGACACTCAGTACTTTATAATGGTAACCCGGGCAGGTCACAAAACAAACATCCCCCTCATACATCACAAGAAATGTAGGATTCAGAATTTTGATGACAGAAATTGTCCAACATAACCATAAGTCTTATCCAAAGACTGCACACTATACCACAAACATTGTCATTATAACATTGTGAGATAAATGATTGGTGGGCGAGAACTAGGTTCTATCTCCTTATCTGATTTACCATCTCATTTTTCATCACCCTAGACTGGATAGACTGGATTAACACAGATTGCCTACATATACAACTGTAACATTAAGATATATATATATACTACCTTATAAGAAATTTATCTCCATGCCAATTTTTTTTATATTTAACAATCTGTAGAATGTTTTTGCTGAGAAGTAGTGTAATTGCTATTTAAAGTTTGGATTTAACGATGACATATTGGTAGGGTACACAATGAGTATACCTATTGATAATACTGAAGAAAATGGATAACACAATTTCAATCAAGGGAGATCACCCTTACAAAATCACTGGTTTGCCCTACGTGTCATGTATTAGTTAGCATATAACCTTGAGTTATAATACATTATTCATATCTAAGGATCTATATCTATTGTTGATGCACTTGGGTTATCACAAAGACCTATAAATTTGTGATGATTGTAGTGTATAATATCATAAATGTAAATGTAGGGTTAGTATATCCTACATGTAGCTTATAATACCAAAACCATTTTTTTTAAATATGAGCATCTATTTTCAAGTTTATTATTTTAATAAAACGCTGTTGTTCCTAAACAAGACAAGATTGAATTTCTATTTATTTTTAGGTGAATTATATCTGAAATCTGATAAATTAGTATATGTGATGACTATAAATTGACAGTCGATAACTACATCTGGTATATATAATGTATATGGACAAATGAAAACTTTACAGGTGGTTACTGTAGGTACAATTCCGTGACCTATGACCCTGACAGTGCAGTATGGTAACTCATGCATTAGCCCCCTGTTGAGAAGGCTAATTTCACACCTGTCTTCCAGCAAAGTATACAACAATGACCTACCTGCACCGAAGGCAAAGAAAAAACTTTTCTTTGGATGAGCTTTAAGCAAGCTAATTACTCTCTCTGCCATCCTCTCATTGCGTTTATTTATTAGCTCCAATCGGAAGTATTCGTCGATGAGTTTGGCAGTCTCCTGAGCGCCCGGGGGTAGGGAGTTGTTGACGAGACTGCGCACCTGAGCTGTGTTTTGATTGAGGATGACTGCGTTGAGGTCCCCACAGTTGTAGTGATATATAAGCTCGTCCGTAGTGTACCTTGTCAGTCCCTCCTCACTAGCCCGGTACGCCTCATGCTGCCAAAGCGTCTGATTTAACGCAAACAACACCTGTGAAAGAGAATGAAGGAAAACTTATACTTAATGTATTGATAAAGTAATAGTCCATTGTTTTACTGTTAATGACGTAAATATTATATCATACATGTAAATCTGCCTGAAAGACCACCCCAATTAAGCGATCTTCACTGTAAAAGAGATCACTATTTCCAATCCCTATATATATGAAGACATTTATTACATATTAATCATTTAACAAAGGCATATGATGCTCCTCAACAAACAATTTCTATAAAGCAATACTAACTAGGTGTCTCTTTGGGTACCATCATTTTCTCATCCCCACAAGCATTGTATTGGTACAGCGTTTATGTAAAAACTGTAGAGACCACCTATTTTAAGAGACCACTTCTGAACCGGCCTTCCCTCTGGTGATCTCTTAATACAGATTTCACTGTATTTGTAAATCTAGATCAAATGTAAATGTAGGTTTTTAATTCATTGCTTAAAATGAAAACATCAGACACACTACCTAACTTCTAATGTCTCACTGTTGGCCTTAATGTTGAGCGTTCTCCCAGGTGATTAAAGGCAATGGGTTCTGTTCCCAGGCCAGGACATACGAAAGTCCAGGGCATTATTGTGTAGACAACATGACTTCTCAAGATATTAAAATATTGAAGGGCTATACTTTTAATATATCACAAATAAATGGAAATGAAAACTCAAGACAACATATATTCCTCAGTAGTCCCACCTAATAATGCCTGAAAATATTGCAGAATTAACACAATTGTTCCAACTTATATTAATCAGTACTCTTGCTGGTCCAAATGGTAGTGTGCAGGGGGTCTTTATGTGGAAGGAAATAAGATCTAGAGTACCAGGGAAAAACCCTATGTGTTCAGGTAGATGTCCGGAAACATTTTCACATCCAATTGGGACATCAAACGTCGGCTGTTTTCAGGTGGAACTTCACTAGTAAGAGTGTTAGCGACTGCCACCCAACTACCCCAAAACAGAAACCTAAAAAGGGTTCCTACCTATTCCAAGGCTGGTCATTCTGTGAAGATTATTGGTCAAAGAAAAAAACACTCCTTAAGTCAGTTACCTTGACCTTTAATCAACATTTCTCATGCTATTTGCCAAAGGTTTTGGCCACCAACACTACCCAAATACAGTAGCGACACATGCCTTCCTGAGATACAGTACTGTAGGTATATGCAGTACACTGTATCTCACACAGTAACACAAGGTACTGTAGGTATATATACAGTAAACTATATCTCACACAGTAACACAAGGTACTGTAGGTATATATACAGTACACTATATCTCACACAGTAACACAAGGTACTGTAGGTATATATACAGTACACTATATCTCACACAGTAACACAAGGTACTGTAGGTATACAGTACACTGTATCTCACACAGTAACACAAGGTACTGTAGGTATATATACAGTACACTATATCTCACACAGTAACACAAGGTACTGTAGGTATACAGTACACTGTATCTCACACAGTAACACAAGGTACTGTAGGTATATATACAGTACACTATATCTCACACAGTAACACAAGGTACTGTAGGTATATATACAGTACACTATATCTCACACAGTAACACAAGGTACAGTAGGTATACAGTACACTGTATCTCACACAGTAACACAAGGTACTGTAGGTATATATACAGTACACTATATCTCACACAGTAACACAAGGTACTGTAGGTATACAGTACACTGTATCTCACACAGTAACACAAAGTACAGTAGGTATACAGTACACTGTATCTCACACAGTAACACAAGGTACTGTAAGTATATATACAGTACACTATATCTCACACAGTAACACAAGGTACTGTAGGTATACAGTACACTGTATCTCACACAGTAACACAAGGTACTGTAGGTATATACAGTACACTATATCTCACACAGTAACACAAGGTACTGTAGGTATACAGTACACTGTATCTCACACAGTAACACAAGGTACTGTAGGTATACAGTACACTGTATCTCACACAGTAACACAAAGTACAGTAGGTATACAGTACACTATATCTCACACAGTAACACAAGGTACTGTAAGTATATATACAGTACACTATATCTCACACAGTAACACAAGATACTGTAGGTATACAGTACACTATATCTCACACAGTAACACACAGTACAGTAGGTATACAGTACACTGTATCTCACACAGTAACACAAGGTACTGTAAGTATATATACAGTACACTATATCTCACACAGTAACACAAGGTACTGTAGGTATACAGTACACTGTATCTCACACAGTAACACACAGTACAGTAGGTATACAGTACACTGTATCTCACACAGTAACACAAGGTACTGTAGATATACAGTACACTATATCTCACACAGTCACACAAGATACTGTAGGTATACAGTACACTGTATCTCACACAGTAACACAAGGTACTGTAGGTATACAGTACACTATATCTCACACAGTAGCACATGGTACTGTAGGTAAACAGTACACTATATCTCACACAGTAACACACGGTACTGTAGGAATATATACAGTACACTGTATCGCACACAGTAACACAAGGTACTGTAGGTATACAGTACACTATTTCTCACACAGTAACACACGGTACTGTAGGAATATATACAGTACACTGTATCTCACACAGTCACACACGGTACTGTAGGTACATACACAGTACACTATATCTCACACAATAACACAAGGTACTGTAGGTATACAGTACACTGTATCTCACACAGTAACACAAGGTACTGTAGGTATACAGTACACTGTATCTCACACAGTCACACAAGGTACTGTAGGTATACAGTACACTGTATCTCACACAGTAACACACGGTACTGTAGGTATATTACAGTACACTATATCTCACACAGTAACACACGGTACTGTAGGTATACAGTACACTATATCTCACACAGCACCACAATATTAACAGACAGATAAATAAGTACAGCCACTCTACATCAGAATCATTTTCCCATTATTCTTAAGTACCTTAAACATCAGTTATATTCTATATCTAATACAGCAGGATAAGTGACAAACCCCTCGGTAGATTAGTTATATATCTCACAGGACCAAACCCTTGCTAGTCAGTATCACAATCAATTATTTCTGTATTCAGCAATTTATCTTCTTGCAAGTATAATTTGTCTTTTATCGTCAAATTAATATCTTGCCTGAGACTGATTAAATGTCAGAATTGGTATCAAGGCCGCAGGACTAATTAAACACAGCTTTACTGGAGAAATATTCTGTGTCGCATCTCATACAAGTCAAGGTTTTTTTCTTTGATTTTCAAAATTAATCTAAATTGAGGTATAAAGATCACCATTAAATTCTTTTAATGCCTAAAATTTAATGTATTTTTTTTTAAGTGAAGTTACAAAGAAAAATTCCTGTTGAATAAGATAAAATGAAACCCTGATTTTGTTTTTCCAGTAAATAAATCTTACCAGACACATTTCGGCTGTAGGAATGATTGTATCAGGGTTGAAATTTCCTGTTTCTGTCGCTTCAAGGGAGGTATAGTATTAACAGATATAGCATACAGACAAATACAATTCTTTATGAGCAATTCTTTTTATACAGAGGAACATCTGAGACAAATGAATACAGGTAATATTACAAGTTTCCCCCATTTAGATTATGTTACAGTCATTTAAAACAACCAGAGGCGGGTTAAAATCTATAGTTATAAGGACATTAACACACCGGTTTCCACAAAGGAAATTCCTAGATATACTGTCCCTCAATATACCAGTATATCTACAGGCTAAACCAAATTACTTTTAACACATCCAATCTAATTACCAATGAGTCTGAATATTTGTTCAGTCTAATTTGGTATTTTGAAATAATTGTACAAGATTTCCCATTAGGAAACGGCCAATGTATACAGAATTACTTTTCATTTACTTGATATATGTCGGTAATCATGCTGGCAATCACAAGCACTTACAGTATTCAACTGATACTCTTGTTTTCTGAAGATATCAAATCTTATCCAGCCAATTTATGGCGGATGTCATTGACAGTCAAAGTTCATTCATAAAAGTAGGGACTTAAAAATGCTGTAAGCACGCAAGACACACGGAGGTATTTTAGGTGGCTTAGAGTGAAATACCACAATATAAGATAGGTTTGGAGATACATCTTGGCCACTATCCAGGACTCGGTTTTCACAACCTCACAACTTATCTAAAGTTAATTCCAAAACAAATAGCACTGTGTCTACTCCAGGCAAATACAAACTCCCCATGAACGAAATATACAGTACAGAACCTCAACATTCAGCCCTTAGAGGCCTACGGCTATAGTCTAAGTGTTTTCCCTTACAACAAAATCACAATGAAAGATCAACATTAAGGACTTGGTGTCCATATATATTCATGTTAAACATGTTTTCTATCTAAACGTGTGAAAACCTATTGACCGAGTTTCAATTTTGAAAACTATTTGTCTGCGTGTTACAAAAGTTGCGCACCAAGTATCGAGTAGTATCGTAGTATCGGGAGAACCATATCTGTATAAGAGGTATGGTGCCCATTTATGACGTACATATGTTGCACGTCCGTACCACACACACAATTTAATCCACTGGGAATAAATTTCGAAACAACTGTAACGTTTGAATATTTTCATCGTTTATTTATTGTTTTTTTGGGGTGTAAAATTTATGAGACAGTTTTGAATTAAGTTTGTAGCTATAAGCGGTAATCTATGTGTTCTGTTAGAATATAACAAATAAACCCCTTTGGAGTCTTACTACTTTACTATATAGCTCGCACGTCTATCTTGTCTGAAAACTTCTCTAAAGCCATTAGAATCAATGCTAGACAGAACGATAAGCATTGACCAACATATAAATACAAGGGTTTAAAGCCTATATCTCACACAATGGGAACAGAAATTTAGTCATTTTCTCCCAGAAAAACTGCTAAGTCATGAAGTAATTGGTACCAATCACAAAAAGAATTGAAAATAAAATTAGAGAAGTTA